TCTATCCCCGTGCCCATGACGTTCGTAAGTTCGCGGCTCTTGCTGCCGTCTTTGGGAATATGTCTTGGTCTGATATTCGGGCGCGGGGATTTTGGCGGTCGAACAGGGTCCTGGCTGCTCATTACCTTGTGAATGTCCCTGGGCCTCGTCGGGCCTGTGTTGCTTTGGGTCGGCGGTTGCAGCCAGTTGTCTCGGCTTCGAGTTGAGGGGTGAGCGACGACCGCCTCCCGGGTAAGTCCCTCTTTTTCTGTCTGTGGGTAGTTAGCTCCGGGGAGCCGACGGGGCTCCCCCCAGAAAACCAGCGTTGAATGTAATGAAACGCCATTTTCTGGGTGAGTCCCGGAGGCTCCCCGGCATCCCTCCCTCCCTCCGGTCGGCGGTTTTTCGCGTTTTTGACATCCAGCCTCAAGAACTGAGGTGTGGGTAGCCGGCGCGGGGGGTCTGGGGCTCCCCCTTCCCCCTCCCGGGGAGGGGGGAGCTGCGCAGACAGCGGCGCGGCAGTGTGTGACGTCACACTAGTTTGCTTGTTTTCGGTTGGGGAGTTCTATCCACTAGTTCGGTTTTAGGTAGCAATTTTAACCAGAATAGGGGTTTGTTTTGGGGCGCTTACCTTTCTGGGTGCCTGTTCCGGTCGATGGCAGACATAGAATGCTTCCAACTACACGGGGGCTTCTATAGGCCATTGCTCCCCTTGCCTCTCTGAGGGGGCCCGGTTCTGGCCGTGGTCCCCGGTAGGCCTAAGAACTCCATACACATGACTGATGCCAAAGTCTGACATTAGCATATCAGCCTGGGATAGCTCCGGGGAGCCTCCGGGACTCGCCCAGAAAATGGCGTTTCATTACATTCAACGCTGGTTTTTTTTTTGGTATGTGCCGGTGGGTGACAAATGATAATTAGCCCTGAACCACACAAGGGTTAAACAACATGGTCTGAAATCGACGAAAACCTTCGAAGAGTAAGAAAATGACAGAAAGACCACCAAGAAACTTCATACTGTCGCTGAGAAGACGACAGCAGATGGCAGACCATCAATGAAGCCACCTGATCACCATACAAATGGTAATACACACACATCGGAAAACCAGATGCGTAGTGTGGAGCAGTAAGGCGTACCAGTGAGATATCTCACTGGCCTTATCTGCTGAAAGAGGCGGAGTTGCGGAAAAGTGCCCGGGTTCGGACACCGAGCAAGCAGTACCTAAAACCAAGGCTGGACCTGCCACCATGGAGCCAGGAGAAGCACCCTCCCTCAGGAGGATTCCAAGTGAGCTAGGACCTGGAGCAACAACTAGACTGGGAAATAAGATGTACAGGAACCTCAACCAGTCCTCCCAAAAAGCATCTGTCGCGACGGTGCCACATACAATGGGAGACGCCGAGACCATGTCGACGCAAAGAGGTTCATCTCTGGGCGCTCATATGTCTGTCAAAGCCAAAGGAAGGAGCCGGTGTTAACCGTCCACTCCTTGAAATGAGGAATGAAGCATGATAGGCTGTCTGCCAGAGCGTTGGACACTCCCTAAATGTAAACTGTGCAGAGAGCTAAACCCTGAAAACTAGGCATAAGATCCACCCCTAGCAACCAGCCCCAAAGAGCCATGAACCGAAGTAACTCCCACGGTTGAGACAATGAACCACAGGGAAGCACTCCAAATGGAGCCAGATCACCGAGCCCCGAGGAAGCAAAATCCGTTGCAGTGCCTGCCACACTGCTGACCACACCGCTGAAAACTCCTGCACCGTGCTGTGAAACTGACGTAAGGACAGCCCCCCAACTGCCTAGACGGACTGGTGAGCATGGGTCACAAAGCTCCAACTGAGAGACGAGGTGTCCGTGAACACATCCAGCGAGGGAAGAGGAAGGCGCCATGGCACCGAATCCTGAAAACTCAAAGACCCAGCAAAGCAGCAACCGACGCAAGGAGAGTGAGAAGTAATAAACTTCAAGCGTAAGAAGAGAGGCAGAAAGACAAAATGAAAATGACATAGCAAGCAAAGCAAAGGCTCAACCTAAATTGTTGCACAGCCACATCAGGAGGAAAGCAACAGTGAAGGAACAGATAATAATATTGAGGATGGAGGCAGACAGATTCACTACAAACAAGGAAGTGTGTGAGGAACTCAATAAGAAATTCCAGGAGGTCTTCACGTTAGAGCAAGGAGACGTTCCAGAGATGAGATGAGAGAGGAAAAAGATGACTAGGTACTGCTAGAGGAGTTTGGGATTACCAGTGGGGAGGTGAGGAAGCTTTTGCTAGAGTTCGATGTGACAAAGGCTATAGGCCCAGATGGAATCTCACCATGGATACTAAACGAAGGAGCAGAAGCACTGTGCCTGCCACTCTCCATAGTGTATAACAAATCACTGGTAACAGGGAAGCTGCCAAATATTTGGAAGACTGCTAATGTAGACAAAATATACAAAAAGTGGGATAGGCACGAGGGACTAAACTATAGGCCAGTGTTTCTAACTTGCATACCATGCAAGTTGATGGAAAAGATTCTGCGAAAAAAGCTTGTGGAACATCTGGAGTGAAAGAACTTTGTAACCCATCAGCATGGGTTCAGGGATGGCAAGTCATGCCTCACAGGATTAATTGAATTCCAGGCAACAAAAATCAGGCAAGAAAGAGAGGGGTGGGCTGACTGCATATTTTTGGATTGCAAGAAAGCCTTTGACACAGTACGATACAAGAGATTAGTGCACAAGCTGGATATGCAAGCGTGAGTGAAAGGGAAGGTACTTCAATAGATAAGGGAGTACCTAAGCAACAGAAAACAGCGAGTCGCTATGAGGGGCAAGGTCCCAGATTGGCGAAATGTCTCCAGTGGAGTCCCACAGGGTTCAGTCCTTGGACCTACACTGTTTCTGATATATATGGAATGATCTTCCAGAGGGAATAGACTCGTTCCTCTCAATGTTTGCTGATGATGCAAAAAATTATAAGGAAGATTAAGTCAGATGAAGATAGTATGAGGTTACAAGATGACCTAGACAAACTGAATGAATGGTCCAACAAATGGGGCTCAGTGGTCTGGGAATCTGACTCTCCTGAGGACCTACCTCGTCCAACAACAAGCATGGTCTTAACCCTACCAGACAGCCTCTTAAGCAGGGGCAGACCCCAGAGAAAATAACAAATGATCAATAGGATAACAGGAGAAGGCTTCTGCAGACAGAACTTAAGACACTGCATCCTCCAGGACGAGTAGAGGCAAGAAAGAGGAGCGAGACAAAAGTAAATAAAACAAAATAAAATACCAAAGCAAATAAAAGAAATGAGCCAACACAGCCGCCAACATGTGAGGCAGGCCTAGTAAAATGCTGCCACCACTTCCCAAAGGAGAGGGGCAAGCATCCTGGGCATGGCTGCCAAGGCAAGAACTGCAGGCCTCAAAGCCTCCATACCTGGTTCAGCACCAAGCAAACCCGTTCTCCTGGAGCTGCCCAGAGAGCCCCTCTACGAGGATCCAAACCCACGAGACTGTCACTAAGTTTCACCCAGAACCAAACTAGAGGGGACCATTTAAACAATCATACTCATATATCAACGAAGGATATTAAAATCTATCCCCTGAAGCAAAAGACCCCTCTGGAGAGGGAACCAGGGTCCAAGTAGGGTTCAGGGGAACTCATGGACACTCCTCAGTCTCTTCTTCAGCCCTAGAAGCCTGCCATGAAGTTTCTGGGGCAGAGCTGTAGTCCTTGTCCAACATCTGGGACAGAAACGTGTCCTCCCAAGAAAAGGCTCAGAGAGGCAGTTGTAAAGACAGGACCAGATGGCTCAACTGCTTCCACTGTCAATTTGGATGGGGATATCCACAGAGAAGTCCGAGTTACATTCTGAGCTAAACCCTGCCCCAACTCCGAGACCCTTGGATGCTTTGGAACCAAAACATGGGGAGGGAGCAGGTAGACCAGAAGCAGGGTAAATCACATCCACAGGGGAAGGAACAGAAGGCATGGATTTCATCCAAGTTACTTAAGCACTGCCAATTCCAGGTTGTCACGAGCACTGCCAATTCCAGGTTTCTAAACACCTTAGGGACAACTCTAGGACATCCAACTGATCACAGTGCTGCAAATGCCTAATCCCAGCTAACCTGGCTTACAAATTAACAGCTGCCTCAAATGCATCTACATTGGAAGTGGAATCAGTCAATGCAAAGAGCGTGAGTGAAAAACTACACAGGACACAGAGTCGTAGGTGTCACCAACACAGCAGGCAGCATAGCAGAGGCAGAACGAATGATGTCATCTGGTAGCAAAGAAGGATGAGCACCCTTCAAACTTACACATGGCAAGTGCAGACTCGACAGGCCATGCCAAAAACCCACATGGGGATTACTAGAGCCTAAAGGCAGCTAATCAAGCAGGACACCCAGGAACTTAGGCCACTTGCTGGAAGACAGATGCTAAGTGCATCCAAAACAAACAGGTTACGACTGGCATCTGCAGCTTGTTATAAGAACAAACACAGAAACCCCAGCCGACCCCAACACAACCAATGGAACGCTCGCAACCTATGGCCCAAACAGAATGTAGTAGTGTAGTGTATGACTGTCTTAACAACCTCCATAGAAGTACAGTAGCACACCATTGGTAGTACTGTATATCCAAACTAACATCTAATATTCCATTCTTTTCTGTCTTCCCATCCATTCCTTCGTGTAGCCGTGCAATAATTATTAGTCATCTCAGGACTTCAACCCTGTACATTTAGTTTTTCTTCACTCGAGAAGATATTCACCATTGCTACCATATTATCAGCATGTAATTACAGGGTATTGTTGCTATAATGACCATGGGAGAGGGTGCCTCAGGTTCAGGTTGTAGTGGAAGCGACCTGACCACCGTATCAGGATTCAGCTGTAAATTGCAAAAGCTGCCAACTATGAGGCAGAGTTGGATTGTAAATGAGGCATGTAGAAAGCATCACGTCTTATGTATTACTGTTACCGAATGTGTTGCAATACTTTCTTGTTTCTTTTTCCAGTCTATACCACAGCAGATGAATGGATCAGACTGTGGAATGTTTACCTGCAAGTTTGCCGAGTACCTGTCACGCAACGTTCCCATCACCTTTGAACAACAGAATATGCCGTACTTTAGAAGAAGAATGGTATACGAAATTGTTACAGGGCATTTGCTGTAATAAGCAGTTACATGTTTAATATAAGAGAGAGTAACAATTTTGATAACGCACATTGTTAGACACTAGCCCTGATTTTTAGAGTGATGGACTTGTGAATGATCATACTAAATGCAAGTCTGCCAATACAGTTTATTACTTGATTCACAATCATGTTGTCTCAATGAGATGGTCTTACAGCTGTAAATAATGAGAAGAGCATCATACATTGTATAATAATCATGGATAAGTGTAGAGCACACAGTACTAAGCCCATAAAAGACAGTTCTGAGCATGCATTAATTTTCCCGTTCATTACTACTATAAGACCACATCACACGAAGATGATTATGAAACAATTATTTAGTTGATGTATAATTAGGAAAATAAACGAATGTTGTTAAACATGTTTTGCAATTGTATCAATTTTCCCATATTGTACCTGTTCTAACCTAACATTAGCAAATTAATCGGTCACCTTGTTTCTCCACCCAGACTTAACACTTTCACTGTTCCAGAGCGATCGCTCCACCTTTCCTAGTGGTTTTGGGCGTTCTGCTGAAGCGTACGGTAATATTGAAAAGTGTATACTCATTTTCAACTTCGTCACCTTAATTTTCGTCCTAGGTTGTTCAATTTTGTATCAATGTGTTCACAATAGAATGCTCTACAGGACTAAAAGCATATACACTCCAAAAGCCCGGCTCGCCACCCGCAGCAAACAAAGTGAGAGCGAGTTACCCGGGAGCGCGCAAGAGCGATAAAATGTATACATTCTTTTCACTTTGGTCACCTCAGTTTTCGTCCTAGGTCTTTCATTTTGGTATTAATGGGTTCGCAATAGAATTGCCAACAGGAGTATATGCATATAATGTCAAAAAACCGTGGCGTACTCCACCCACCGACGTGATGAAAGCAGGCCGCGGTTACCCAGAAGAGAGATGGGAGACTCGCCCAGCCTTCCATTAGAGAGGGCGGTAATGCTGAAAAGTGTATACTTTGTCATCTCAATTTTCGTCCTAGGTTTTTCAATATGACATTAATGTGTTCACAATAGAATTCTCTACATGATTAAATACATATGAAGTCCAGAAGCCTGGCGTACCACCTGCACAAAACAGAGAAAGTAAGAGCGTGTTACCCGGGATCGCTAAAGAGCAATGAAATGTGTACACTCTTTTCACTTGGTCACCTCAATTCTCGTACTAGGTCTTTCATTTTGGTATCATTGGGTTCGCAATAAATTTCCTTACAGGAGTATATGTATATATAAAGTTCAAAAGCCCGGTGTACCACCTAAAGCAAATAGAGAAAGTGACAGCACGTTACCCCCATGAGTGCTCATCAAGAGCAATAAAATGTGTTTACTCTTTTCAACTTTGTTACCTCAGTTCTCATCCTAGGTCTGTCATTTTGATATCACTGTATTCGCAATGAAATTCCCTACGGGAGTATAGGTATACAGTATAATGTCCAAAACCGCGGCGCGTCTCTCCCGCATTCAAAACGAAAGCAGGTCAAATTTTGATGCCATTAGTGGAAATAAGGTACTAAAATTTTGACTCCATACTTCATCATTAGTGGGCAAAAGTGTTAATTAGTTTTGGTATTATTCACATTAAATAACACATTTAAATTAAATTATTCAATAATGCACATTTCTGGTGGAAGTCCTTGGTGGCTCCCTAGAGCTACTATCTCCTGAGAGCTCCCGGGTAACTTGCTCTCACCTTCTGTTTGCTGTGGGTGGCGAGCCGGGCTTTTGGAGTGTATATGCTTTTAGTCCTGTAGAGCATTCTATTGTGAACACATTGATACAAAATTGAACAACCTAGGATGAAAATTAAGGTGACGTAGTTGAAAAAGAGTAGTAACATGCCATACTACTAGGTGCTATCATTTGAAGAGTTTTATGGCCTACTGGTGACCACAAGCCAGAACCTGATTCCCTCAAAGATGTGCAGAGAGTGGTGGCACACATGGTAAAATTTCTACGAATATATTCATGTCTGCCACCCACCAAGGAAAGTACCCAGCAAGACAGCGAGACAAAACAAACCATTGCTGGCTTTAAACGAGACCGCTGCCTCGAGAACTGCCAAAAAAACTTCCCCAACAATGTAAACAAACTAGTGAAAATTCACAAAACTAGCACAAGCTCTTTCACCCTACCTTCTTCCTTGTTTAGGAAAGGAGGAGGGGGGGGGGGGCAGCCAGGGTCAGCTGGCTGTTCTGATGGTTGTTCATAACTTGTCGTCCTCTCTGTTCTGGCTCCAGTCTCCTGGTTTTTCAACTAGAGGTGTTTTGCCTTTGTGGCTGTCCCTGTGCACTTTGGTGCACCGTGAGCCAGGAGTTTAGAGCGCTTTAGATTTGCAGGTCTCAGGATTCCCTTCCCTGCACTCCTTTAGTGCTGACCATGCACTGCCATGGCTATCTTCCCTTGAGTGTTCGAGGTTAACTCCTTTAGAGGTCTTCCTCACTTGTGGTGATTCTCTCCCTAGGTAAGTCTTTGGCTTTGTCTTTCCTCAGGTTGGGAGTGATATGCTGGCAATGTTCGCTGGGTTCATGCAACTACTAGAACTCTGTGGTTGGCCCCTCACAGCCACGTGACTGGCTGTGTTGATGTACTGGTCTCTCTTATTCCAGAGAGCTTCTTCAATTATACAGGACCAGCGTAGCATTCCCAGTGCCTGGGCTTCCGGCAGGTTTACAGGTTACATCCCCTGTAGGCCTTGGTAAACCCCTAGAGGGTTTCGTGTTTAATAGATATCTCCCCCCACCCCCGAACCCGCTCTCACCTCGTGCAAATTTGAGAGTTGCACGTCATCAGTACCACGTGGCAAAGTTCATTTCTTCTGCCTCTGCTGTACTGCCTGCTGTGTTGGTGATACCTTTGACTCCGAGTCAGGACGGGTTTGTTCCCAGCAAGTTACTCTCCTTTCTGATCTACCTAATGAGGTTTGGGTTTTTCGGGTAGTGTCTGTGTTGCAACAGTCTAGGTTGTGTGTCCATTTGGATGCCCCAGAGCTACTCAGATTGGTGTTTAGGGACCTTGATTAGATGGTGTTGGTTAACTTTACCATGGTTCAGCTACACCACCCCTTCCTTCCTTCCCTGGTGGACATAATTGGCCCTTCCTCTGATCCTCCTCCCCCCTTGCTTCCGGCCCCAAAGCTTCTGTGGATTTCAGGATTTAGTTCGAGATATGGCTTGGTAGGCAACGGGGTTTGCCCCCTTCCAATTCAGGGGCCAGTTTCATGAAGCAGTTACGCAAGCACTTACGAACCTGTCCATTTTTTCTCAATCTTTGGCGGCTTTGTTTACAATTATTTAACAGGTAATGAACCCCGAAGCACCAGAAGGCTGTTTATAACAATAACAGCAGTTGATTGGGAAATTTTCATGCTTGTAAACTGTTTAATAAATGTAACCAAAGCCATCAAAGATTGAGGAAAGATGTACACGTTCGTAAGTACTTGCGTAACTGCTTTGTGAATCTGGGTCCAGGTCTGGAGGCACTTGAGACTACTGGTCCTGCCGAGGCTTCTGGGTCTTCCTTTCAGCTAGCCACTTCCTTTGAAGCCTCTCCTTTGTAATCCACGTCTCTATCCCAGGCGGTGGGCATGAACGATGGCTCTCCCCCAGGGTCCTCTGCTGTGGTTTGTGCTTTGGGGGGGGGATCGGATACAGGCCCTTTAGTCTCTTGATTCTACGTAGTATCTCATGCCTTCAATTGAGGTCTTCTGTTGCAGGGGGGGTAGGGGATTCCATATCCGCCATCCCTTTATGAATTTGATTTGGGTGCAGTTCCTCCCCCCCCCCCCCCCTTCCATCTCTCTCCCACCCCCGAGATTAATTCCAGGTGGTTTTGGGCCCTTCGGGTTCATCCTTCTGGAGGTTTCTCACCTCTTGAGTTCTCCCAGTGGCAACTTCAGAGGCCATTTTTGTGTACACCTCATACGTGACCCAGATTATGCCTCGTTAATGGACCAAGCCTTTTTGAGTTCGGGTCTTCTCTGTTTTGGATGCATTATGAGGTTCCTGAGTCAACTTGGCTGGCAGACAATCCTCTATTTTCACTTGGGGCTTGGTGTGGCTTCTGTTATACTCACACACTTGAGTCATGTGGGGTGTCATCCATGTTACCGGTGTTTTTGGGGGGCCTGTCTTTTGACTCTATCAATGACTGCCTGTTTGCTCTTGGTCTTGATCAGGAAGTGGTTCCTGTGCAGCTCTGTGGTCAGGTTTTTCTGCTGGCTATGTTAGCTATGCTGGTTGCAGACGACTATCAAACCCATCTGCATTTGAATTCTGTCATGCATTTTGTTTGTGCCTTCTTGAGCTGCATTCTCACTGACTCGGAGGACATCGGGGCGCACAGTAAGGTCCTTCTTGTGGGAGGTCTTGGCCTCTGCTGTAGAGGCAGGAGCTGCATTCCCCCCAAGTTGTACACCCCTATTTTCAAGGAGGTAGAGGCCACATTCTTCTCCACCAATCTCCCGTGTCAACAGGCTGTGTTGGCCCATCTCTGGATTCGACGTAGGCCATTGCTCTTGTATCTGCCTTGTCCTTTTCTTTGCTTTTCTGTGGAGGAGCTCCTATGGCTCCCTGGAGCTATCCAGGCTGAGATGGATACCATAACTATTTTGCATCAGTTGATATGGGTGGAGTTCTTGGCCTACCGGGGACCACGAGCCAGAACCTGGCCCCCTCACAGAGGCATGAGGAGCAATGGCCTCATAGAAATGCATATGTGATTTGGAGCATTCTATATTAGCCATCGACCGGAACAGGCACCCAGAAAGGTAAGTGCCACAAAACAAACCCCTATTCTGGTTAAAACGACGAAAATCGCCAAACGAGTGGACAGAACCCCCCCAAAAGAAAAGCGAGTAACAAGCATGACATCACATGAGCCACGCCGCATGTCTGCGCAGCTCCCCCCTCCTCGGGAGAGGGAAAGGGGAGCCCTAGACCCTCGCGCCGGCGATTCACACTTCAGTTCTTCGGCTGATGGGATCGTGCATAGTCATGTGGCTCCAACTCCAGTCTTCTCTCAGTGCTGTTATTGGTTTCAGTACTGCTCTTATGGTGGCATGCGAGTTGGGAGTAATTTCTCAGGTACTCGGGCTGCATGTGCTTAAGGTCACCTTCCCTGAGTGCCCTGTAAGTACCACCCTTGGGGCTTGGGGTTCCCTTCCACAAGTCAAATTGGGTCTACCTCTGTTGGCCTTTTGCTGCTTGGCGTTTGGCTGCCCCGAGTGTGAGGGGGGCAGGGGGAGGTTTCCGCCCTTGTTTGCCTTGGGGTAAGAGGTAGTTATTGCACTGGTCGGACATGGAGTTCTGCATAGCTAGTTTTCACCTTTAACAGCAGCCGGCTCTGTTCTCTTTGAGTATGTTGTCCTCTTGCGA